ATGACGGGTAAATATATTTTACCGATACATTGATGCATGTTTGACAAAAATAGGATTAATAAATTAGGTAAAAGATTATACTCATTTCGTTGTTAAATGTAAAAGAATTTAACTCCTTAGACTTTAAACGGATTTGATAAAAAATGTCCAAATCCAAGTCCGTCAAAAAAAAAAAATCTTCAAGTTCGGACTTGGACTTGCCCATCTATGTTTGAAAGTGTGTAATTAAACTATACCATTGTATCTTATATATTTAAGATCATTTGTTAATGATGGAGGTACGTCATATCCGGTTGGTAATTGTTTCCAAATTTGTTGTTCTTGATCTTCAACACCCAACCATAGAAATACTTGTACTTTGGCATTTGTTGATGATTTAAGTGGTTTTTCAGATGTTCGAGGAGTCTAACATAACAAAAATAAATAAAAAACAAAAGAAAAGTCAAAATCAATTTAAGAGAGAGATAAAAACAAAAAAAAGACAATAATTTTTAAATAAATGTACTTTTAAAAATAATGTTTGAACTTTTCCATAATTTTTTCCTTTATCACTTTGACAAATACTGTATAAAATATCTTCTGGTGCAAGACGTGCGTAAGCAACACGTTTATTATCGCATATCATCCATAAAAATATATCAGGCAACGCTGGTTGAATCTAAAAATAAAATGTCATTATACTTGAAATTACTTATATATCCTTTTTTCTTCAAAATTTCTTTCTGTTTAAGAAAGAAAAAGTGTTCGATCTAACGAGGAAACATCGTATTGATTTTAGTCAAACGATCACGATAGATAAGTATTTGCCTCTGAAAATTTTTGATACTCGGATCTGGTAGGTTTGTAGCTCGCATGATCACGAACATTTTGCTTTTTTCTAGGGATTTTTTCTGAATGTTGATAATCATTTCGAGAAACGGTTTGTGACGTCATTATCCTGATCAAACAACTAAAGCGACGTGCACTGTCTTCAATTCAGAGGACGAGTAAACGGTTTCTGTAAGAAAATAATCCAATATAATAATATTGAACGCAAATCATCTAGAATTATGCACAGAAATGCTTCACCTGAAAATCTATTCAAACTTAAAAAGAAATTCTTCTAGAAGTCTTTAGTGTGAAATCTCGTATACTTTTTTCATTACTGTTCTAAACAACTGCATCCATCATCTATCTCAAGCTATTCCGATAACTTTCAAATTTGTGAACAAGAACTTATATACAGGAAGTAAGAGAATTTCTTGCGCTTCGAAATGAGCTATGAACAAACTTTTCAACAATATGCCTATATAGAATAAATAAAATATAAAACTTTTTAGAGGGTTTTCCATGACACTTTAATGTCTCGAAAGGATTTTGATAAAAGTTGAATGTACATGAGGACATAGAATTTTTTAAGAAAATATTGAAAATCGGGCAAAAGAATTCAAAAACCGAAGACGGTTTAAGATCTCTCAACGACTTTAAAGAAGATATTCTTGATTATCTTAAGAAATCGCATTCAGCCTATGCAGCTTTGAAAATATTCACGAGAAAAACGTTTTCCAGAAATCTTCTAGATTGTCCTGGAAAACCCTCTAAAAATGTTTTTAGCAACATGGGTGTAGAAAATGTCATCAGATTAAATTGCCAGCCTTTACAAGACTGTCTTCTCTGACTATGCTTGATCAGAAAATTTCGTTTGGATGCTAAAAGATAGAGAATTTTGCGTAAATTCTAGTCATATATTTGGACTGGTTTTCTAGAAAACCAGTTTTTCAGAAATTCCAGAAAATCTCCGGAACTTCGCTTAATAAGTCATATTCGTAGCGCGCGAAATTCTGATTAGTATGAGACTACCCCTTGCTCCATACGACCTTTCTTTGCAAAGTTATAGAATCTACAAGAAAAGCCCTAAATATTCGCTGTCAGCTGAGAGATATAGAAAAAAGAAAAAAGGAGTTTAGGGCTTTTCTTGTAAATTATATAACTTTGCAAAGAAAGGTCGTGTAGAGCTGGGGGATGTCTCATTTTAATCAGAATTTCGCGCGTTACAAACAAAACTTATTAAGAAAAGTTCCGGAAATTTTCTGGAATTTCTGGAAAACTAGTTTTCTAGCAAATCAGTCTTTGGAGGCCTAGCAGCACGTTTTATGTTGATATTCGGAATCAGCATGATCGACTGCCTAGAGTCCACTAGATATTTTGGTCTGAAAGCGATCTGTCAGTTGGAAACGTTCCCTCGTGACTCACGAAGGAACGTTCTCGTGAGAGAAACGTCATTCTATATAGGCATATTGTTGAAAAGTTTGTTCATAGCTCATTTCGAAGCGCAAGACATTCTCTAACTTCCTGTATATAAGTTCTTGTTCACAAATTTGAAAGTTATCGGAATAGCTTGAGATAGATGATGGATGCAGTTGTTTAGAACAGTAATGAAAAAAGTATACGAGATTTCACACTAAAG